GGGGGGTCTACTTTTCACTCACCAGCATTAGTGGTAGAGCTGACTAAAGGAGGTGGCCCAGATGCACGTTGGGTAGTGATGGGGGAAACAGTGGCCTTCTGGACTCCTGTCACTGGATAACGCAGAAAAAAGTATTAAGAAATATAACTAACTGGTAGCTTAAAAAGGAGGAGGGATAACTAGGGATGAGAAAATTTAGCAGAGAGGCTTAATTCAAATACTGGACTGAACTCAATGCTAAGGTTGTTATTTAGCTAAATGTTTGTGAAAATCTGGTAATCCACACAATCTTATTGGGTGAAGGTGAAAACATTCCCTTCTGAAGTTCTAAAGTGACTTTTGTGTGCGCTGTTCATCTTCATACATCGCTACAGTATTAACAGACAATGGACCATTTTTTTTTACCCGGGAATTTTCGTTAATGTGACTGGCACCTTAAGACTGAGCAATAAAGAGCAGCTGTGTTTTACCTTGCACATCATCATCATCTTCTGTCAGATCTATCACAGAACCTTTGGGCCGCCCGGTCTGTAGAGAGAAGAGTAAAATTTAGTACAAAACTGCACTTTGACAAAAGTGGTATTTGCAATTACATTTTAAACTACATTATTTACAATGAGACATTGCTTACCTGAGAGGGTGTTTTCGGTGTTGAGGCCTGGTTATCTGTTTAAAATGAGAGATTAATGATTATATTATGAAACAGCCCATACAATTTTCAAACATACATTACATAATACTATATAATAAATAAAAGCAATGTGAGGATAATCACAAAAAAAAAAAAAAAAAAAAAGAACATACATGAGACAGACAGCAAGTACTTAACTAAAATAATGAAAATTCACTGCTACATTTAAAGGGATAGTTCACACAAAAACAACAATTCTGTCACTAATTACTCACCCTCATTTCGTTCTAAACCCGTAAGACCTTTGTTCATCTTCAGAACACAGATTTAGATATTTTTTATGAAATCCGAGAGCTTTCTGACCCTGCATAGACAGCAGTTCACGGCCCAGAAAGGTAGTAAAGACATCATTAAAACAGTCCATGTGACATCAGTGATTCAACCATAATGTTATGATGCTACAAGAATACTTTTCATGCGTAAAGGGAAAAAAAATAATGACTCGTAGCTTCATAATATTACAGCTGAACCACTGATGTCACATGGACTATTTTAATGATGTCCTTACTACCTTTCTGGGCCGTGAACTACTGTCTATGCAGGGTCAGAAAGCTCTCGGATTTCATCAAAAACATTTTTGTGTTGCAAAGATGAACGAAGGTCTTACGGGTTTGGAACGGCATGAGGGCGAGTAATTAATGACAGAATTTTCCATTTTTGGGTGAACTATCCCTTTAAATTTCATTTCAATGCATTTAAATAATGTGGTATTATTCCATGCTTTAAATATTCAATAACTTTGTGTTATATCCCTCAAAAAGAAAAACCCAACAAAATTACAAAAAATAAAGCACTTTCCATTTAGCTGATATTTTAAAAGGTGGCCACATGATAGACATTCTGTTATACCTGTCTTTGAGGCCAGCGCGGAAGCCGACGGTGGACCAGCTGCAGCTGCCGCTGATCCTGTCGCCGCAGGTCCCGTGGTTCCTGGAGAAGAGGCCGCTGTACTCACTCCCACAACAGCAGCACACTGTGTAGGTGTTCGGGCTGTAGTCACAGATATCCCTGTACTGGGTGAACTAACGGTCCCTGTGCCACCCGGATACACGGCTCTCGCTAACGACACCGCCGGAGCTGACGAGGTCGAGGAAGACGAAACAACGCTGCCTGCTGGCTTTTGAAGGATGAAGGTGGTAGCAGGTGTAGTCATCTTTGCCTTATTGTTGCTACTAACCGTAGATAATGACGACACCGGTATTAAACCGACACCACTGGCAGTATTAACCAATGCCCCACTTTGCCCATTTGCCATCGCTAAAGGCAGCTGAATCAAAAGAGGCTGAATAGACACTGACTGACCCCCTGAAGTTGCTGGGGTGTTAGTCATGACCCCTGTATTGGGTCCAGTCTTTAGTAGTAGGGTGCCTGTCTGAGACTGGCCAGGCAAAGAGGTGGACGAGGGAGTGGAGCTTGTTGTTGTGGAAATGATCTGTAGAATGGGTGCAGGAGAAGCTAGCGCGGAGGAGGTTGGTGTAGTCAGTGTGGACAGAGGTTTGGCCTGGGCTGGGATTGCTGAAAGAAAAAGAATGTTTGAGTTTAATAAAACATTACTTTCAGAGTTAAAACGAGAACTAGAATTAATAGAAATGAGAATTAAATTAATAAAAAGCTCACCAGTTGTATTAGAACCAGTGGCTGGACTGGACAGTTTGGGATCCATTGTGGTTTTAACAGTACTGTAAAAGAACAGAAATGGTAGGGAAGCATTAAAATAATGGCAATAGCACAAGCATTTCAAATATTATTTGCTAAAGCTTTTTGAATTACAAACTGCAGCACTAATATGTGCAGTTTTAACAAATTAGTCTGTGTAGTCTGCGTCTACAAGGTTTTTGTGGCTAGCTAGCTCTTTGTTCAACTTCAACCGATGTGGAAAAAGGATGGTGAACTGAACGGCCCTTAAAACTGGCCAACCATCTATACACAGAAAACGCATGCTTGCATTCAATTGTGTTTTCTATTGTTTTTCTATGTAAACCTACACTAGAGGTACATATTTGACAACTGAATGAGTGTCTTTTTATTATTTTAATAATTTTGAAAAATAAAAAAAATGATTGTAATGTTTTGCAATAGAGGAGGAGCATGATCTTGTGAGGATATTTTTACCGTTGCGGTGTAGTCATGTTGGTTGCATTGTTGGCCTGAGCAGCAGCGGCGGCAGCATGAGCCTGATTAACAGGAAACAAAGTGCATTTTAATGAAACATTCAAAAGCACATTTCGCTTGCAATCAATCACTAAAAAGGGTATTGTATTTATGGATAAAGACCATTAATGTCTTGTATCTTTATTCCATAAACTCCCATAATGTTTTTCACTAAACCACTTTGACCAAATCACACAATAATTAAATTGTTTTACCTCTTGAGTTCTCTTTGAGTTCTCCGAGGCCTGATTAGCAGCACCAAACTTTTTGGCCAGCCGGGAAATCTTAGCCTAACATGAAAACACAAAGTTTTGTTGATGTTAAGTATCAGGTTTCACAGTCCCATTCTATTAACTATTGTAAGATGTATAATAGTAATAATTCTTGTATTTGAAAACTTCAAAACTCACCTGTAGTGTGTTAATATGCTGCATTGTATTCTGTTGTTTGGTTGCGTTGTCAATCTTCTCCACTTTCTCTTTCAGCTCTTTTATGCTTCGGTCAAATACAGTCAACTGCAGCACCCGTAACCGTTCCTCGACTAACTGCTGTACCATCTAATAAGAAGAGAGCGAGAAAAAGAATAAATAACGTCTTATGTCTGAGCTTTGTTACAGAAGACCTTCGGATGTCTATCATGAATGTTATATACCACTATCCATTATTACAGACAAATTACAGAGAATTCCCAAAACTCCAAAAAAAAAAAAAAAAAAGAATTCCGACAAGTGAGAACCAATGTGTGTTGCTCTCGTGTGAAACCGGTACAGTTGAGCTGTTTACCATATTGCATGGGCTCTATGTATGTGTGTTATCAATGTTTCTATGTATATAAAATCCTAAATTAAAGCAATAGTGTCTTCTTCAGAACACCCTCTTCATTTGTGTTTCAATGATGGCATTTCGTCTTCTAAATGTATTGTTTTACAAGTAAATGACAGAATGTGAATGTTTTTGGTGAACTATCCCATAAAGAATCACTTACTGTAATCACATATCTCTGCATCTCATTTCATGTTATATGAAAATGTGCCGTTGTATATGGTATGTGACTAAATGCTGTATAGAGATATGAGGATTTAGAAAAAACTAATAAGACGCATAACAAACCTTCTCCAGTTTATGCCGGCTCCCAGCATTGGCTGTAATTTTCAGCTCTATCTGAGCCTCCAGCTCTTCGCCGTCCAGCCTTGCTCGTTTTCCGTCTCTCTCGTCCTTGATTTCTTTGTCATCTTCATCTTTCTCCTCGGACAACGATCTCTTTGTACCAGCAGAGGCACTGTTGTCTGCTGTTGAGTAGAAACAAAGGAAGGGTTTAGACTTTAAATGCAGAGCTACTAGTGTAAGTAATGTTAGCTCACATGCTAAACTTCATGTCAATACTATTGAGCTATAACAAATATCTCAAAGCAACAGCAATTGTAGAGCAAACCATTTTGAGTCTATAGAGTAAGTTTAAAGGCATAGTTCAACCTTCAACAAATTAATTTCATTTTGTCATCCACATTGTTCCAAAACAGTTTTGAGTTTTCTACGGTAAAACACAAAATATATTGAAAAATGTTGCTATTGACAATTTTTGTCAATACAATAAGTTAATGCGGTCAAACGTTTTTAACCCCTTCGAATTTCAACGTTCCTCAAAAGTCGTGATCCACTTAAAGCAAGTCATACAGGTTTGGAACGACTTGGTGACAGTTTTAATTTTGGGGTAAACTATCCCTCTGCTTAATGACTGCAAAATAATTCAGAATTCTCTCAAAATTACTAGTTGATCTGTAATTGCTTGAGAAGTCTATTACAAGAATATGAACGGGAAAAGCTTATATTTTACTTCTGATTTTTAAGTATTTACAGAATAGCATTTTTACGGTCTCTGCAAATACGTTGTACAGGAATGAATGGGAGAAATTTAATATCTGACCTCCCTGAACTAACAGACTGACCAGTAGTTTGCAGGCAGGTTGAGTTTCTAGAAATTCTCACCTCCTGCATTCTCAGAAGTGCCTTTTTCATCTTTTTGGTCCTCTTTCTCATCGTCTACATTCATCTTCTCCCCACTACTGTCTTTCTTTTCATCTTTTTCTGCTTGGATTTCATCCTCTTCGCTCAAGCACAGAAATCCTTCTTTAACCTCTGGATCACAGTGCAACCCAGAGGGGGAAGCAGAAAGAGAAGAGGAGGAACTTTTATTGCTTGTCTCCTTTTTCTCTTCTGTGGCCACAAGGGGGTCGTCAATATCCAGAGAAGGTGAGGTAGTTTGTGTGTTGGGTGGAGAAGGAGATCGAGAGAGGGTGAAAGATGGAGAAGGGGAACAGTGAGCTGAATCAGGGGCAGGTGACATCAAGTCGGCCTCTTTACAATTCGGGTCTTTCTCCTTGACTTTCTCTTTCTCCTTTTCGGTGTGGGCGCCATTGACCAGTGGTGTCTGAGGTGGAGAGGAGGAAGATGAGTAAGAGGCGGAGCTGGAGGTGGCGGCTGCCAAGGTGTTGTGCAGAGCTTCCAGTTGCTGCCGATCGCTCATCTTCATCGTTTTCCGTGCACGAAAGATTTTCTTCTGAGGTTCCTCTGGTACAGCTACTTCCATTTTCACCTGCGTAAAAACAGTGGGAGGATATGGTCAAACAAATGTTATATCCTAAACAGGCTAGTTAGATAACTCCATCCAGTACTCAACACATCTGATTAATCTGAGCAAGTACAAGTGCCTTTACTGAAGTGTGACCACAAGGTGTCACTGTCACTCATCTAAACGCCACTTCCTGCTGTTCTAGAATTTTCTCTTGGCCTCGATCACATTACCTTTCTTTAACTGGAACAATACCATAACTAAAACCCTGGACTAAGACTTTGGCTTAACTACTACCTAAAAAAAATTGCCAGAATAAAAGTACTAAACTGATCTGTTTAGATACCCACACTATAAGTCTGAGCTGAAGCCCCTCTCTGATTAACAAGTCCACAAAGCACCTTGCATCTGTAAAAAGTAAGTAGTTGAACCTAACGAAAACCAATAACCTTCCTCAGTTCAATTGACATAACTAGTGAGTTGGTAGGGCGTAACAGTCAGCAGTGCATGTGATTTCAGAACACAGAGAGGGAGAGCAGACTTTGTGTCCTCCCCCTCAAGCTGATTGGTGCAATTCTTAGCCAATAAGAGCAGCACTCTACAGAATCTGCTAGCGACAAGAGGAGTTCATTATATAATGCAGATTTTCAAAGCTACTATAGTACTTAAACTAGACTAGTACTTCTGTCTCAGTGTTAATCACAATAAGACATTAGTTTGTCTTACCAGGCTTCTGTGATGTCTCGTATTTTCCTGTTCATGGATTTGGCAGCCAATCGCTTGAGGATCCTAAAAAAAAAAATATAGAAATATTAGGTTTGAAATGTAGTTAGAAATTCATTTGCACTCATTTCTGCTACATGAATTAGATGTATTTAACTATTAGTTCTTCAACTCGAAACCAGATCCAAACATCCTTCAGTTCCTTTTTAGTACAGCTCCCTCATGTTTTAATTAATAAGTTGTACTCAAAATGTTACGTAACCATAACCCAGTAGTTTTATCGTAACGCATGAGCACTGGCATATTCTTGATTATCTAGTAATGTAGTCGACATACTTCCTTAGTTCTATGTGCATGGCTTACAGTACAATGCATGCTGAATCTGCAGCCAGATGTTATGACAAAGATCACATATAATAAACTCATTGCAAGCGATGCAGAAATAATGTTTTATATCATCTATAGAGAGAAACAAAGAACTTGAGCAAACAGCTAAAGAAACCTCAAAACTGGTGCCATCCTGTAAATACAAGTAGATTATATTATTACATTCAGAAAACGAATCAGTGCACACAATATGTGGTACAGAATTATATTGCGATTTGTGATTTTGGTAAGTCAAGGGAATATTATTTAAAACATATTCGCAAGGTATTTAAAAATAAATTACGGTATGTTGGTGTTCTCTTTCTGTGCTCATTAAGAGACTCTCAAAGCTAAAACAGTACACAAAGAATAGCCACCTGGCATAGTTCTTAATTATAAATATATATATATATATAGTCAAGTCTGAAACTAGTGGTACTCTTGCATCAAATGCTAAAACTGTTCTGAAAATGACACCTCTCAGCCAAGACCAAACAGAGATCAATCAAAGTACAGTAAAGCTCAACTAAATATTTACAATAAGGAGTTTCCTATATTTCTTAGTACTCCCATGAATAAGAGTTGCTAGTATTGAATTTAACTTGCTATTAGCATCAAAGCACCTTCCTGGATCCAAACAATTAATCGGTCTTGATTTCATTCTAATGCTGCCCATCAACTTTACTTTAGTTATTCTCATCTCATCTTCTTAGTTTTACTACACATCCAATAACAATATAGAGCTGCAAGCATAAACCCAGAGGACGCCGCATTGCTGCTGCACTGCTACATTAACAATCATCCTTGCAGGTGTGAATGACGTGGCTTCTATATATACCAAAATCTCGTCCTCCTAGGCCATTTGCAACACCTTTAACTTCCTGTCAACAGCCAATCCTTTGAGGTCAGGTATCCATGACAACCACGAAAAAGACTTTTACGTAAATTCAATTGAAGATTTTATAGCTTTTGACTAATTTGCCATCCTAAACACCACAAACTGCTGAGTGAAGAGCAAGACAGGTGACTAGATTGTACTAGACACAAAAGGCGGCGTCAAGTTTTTCATATTCCAACATGTCATCAACCCAAAAAGAACAGACAAATAAATGTGTGACAAAAACTAAACACTAATAAAATGCATCTCTGCATTCCTCCATCTCCCCAGTTTTATGTCCATAAATGGGACATTCATTTTAGAAAATGGCTGATAGCTTCTGGAAAGCTTGTTCTTCTAATGTTGATCACCGCGCACAGGCTCACTGTGGCCCTCCCCCACCCCATCTGTAAACATAGACGCTGAGGTTGCCGCTCAATGCAAAATGGTCGCCAGAGCTGCGGTATAAAGCCAGGCTCAGGTCTACAATACTCCTCCTGAAGCTCAGACCTGAATCCATAGAATCTGTACTCACTTTCAACCGAAGCTGGTTTCAGAAACATAACCTCTTGCAGATTGCTAATAAAGAACTGTACGTAAAATAACAGAACACGGTACTGCAACTTGAAAACAAGTTACAAGGTCGATATCTGCCTGATACCTGAAATAATTTTGGATAAGCGAACAAAAGTGATTCAGATAAGCAACCTTTAAATCTAAAATAAGTAAATCACAAAAGCTCCTAGTGAAAAACATTAAATATGAAAAGATCCTAAAGACGAAACTTCCTAACGCGAAAACCCCAAGCATTAACGGAATTTCCAAGTCGAACGCAAAATAGACAATCCCAACAATGTCAGAATTGCTAAATTTTCACTAACAGCCAAAACAAACGCAACATTAAAAAAATTCGCAAAAATACGAGCGTCCATGAAAATACGAAAACATGAAAAATCGGTTAGAATTAGTGTTAAAAAAAATAAAACATCCACCAAAAAGTCCATTAATCTTGAGTAAACACTACTAAATATGAGGGTGAATTAAAAAAAACAATTGTCTTCAAGAACCGAAACAGCTCGAAAACAACCTTGAGGTGTAGTCTTCAGGAGTAGGCCTTGATTAGTAGCGAGCGCGAAAACAGGAGCATGCCTAGTTCCCAACTAGCTCAAAGCGCACACAACACAGAAAAGAGGAACAGAGAGAGACAGAGAGAACAGGAGGGGGAAGGGATCTCGTGTGGAGAGGCGGAGCACATTCTTTTTAAGGTGTTGGCTGTAACCAGAATAAAAAAAATAAATAAAAAAAAACAGTGTAGCTACACACAATTGTAGCGTTACAACTAACAGTATGTCATATGAAACAAAAGGTCACTTTTTGACTCATGATGAGACTGAGATGATTCATCACCTCTTATAAGCTCACTGATCCACCAGTGGTATTCTAAAACCTATGATTGAAGAAAGTGTTCCAAAATATGACATTCAACCAAAAAAAACTTTAGAAATCAGAGGAAAATAAAGAATAAAGAACAAAAGCCTCAGCAGCAAGAAAGAAAAACTGCCATGTGCTGAAAAGCAAAAACGGCCCCCTCCCCCACTGCTGCAGGCACAGAGAAAACAGGGTGGAAAATTACTGCGATGTGGATCATACCATTATAACAGAAGAGGGGTGTCTCACGTGCACCGCTATGGGTCAACACAAGAGGGCGCAGAGCAAAACTGAATCTGCTCTGCATTTTAAAATAGTGACAATTTGTCTATATGCAGTCCATATTTAGCAAAGAGCATGAATCTCTATACTGCACAAACATCTTTGCTACTGCACAGAACAGGATTATAATGAGGTGAAAGGTCAAAATGCTGTCACATGCAAATGTAAACAACTTGACAACAAAATAAGCTATGGTCGCAATTTCAAATGTACAATGTCAGACAATTAAGCATGTTCAGCATATCTGATCACTTGAGTCTCAGCTCACTAACATTTCACACCATTGTGTAGAAATTTGAACTATGTAAAATCAAATCTAATAGCATGAAAGCGCATAACTTATTCTACTTAAATTTTGGATTTTCTTTTGAGTTATTCCCAAAGGCAAGTCGATTAAATGGGAACAAATCCCTAATGTTCTATTCATTGTTTTCCTAGTAAAGGGTCATTTGTAAAACTAGCCTGAAAACCAGACTAAATGTCCCCCAACTGCGTTTTATTAGACGTAGCTGTTAGTGTATGTGCTCCAACACATTTAACTCTAGAGTTCATGCGGGGCGATGCACATTCTAATCCAGCTCATGACATTGTTCGATCTCCTGTTTTCCCCATCCTTTCCTGTCATCTCTCTACTGTGCCTATAAATAAAAGTCACAAGAAGGGCATTAAAAAAGCCTACATTCAGTCCATGAGAACAAAGCAGAGAACCTTCCTTATCTAAACAAATCAATTCTAGTTCAAATGACTGTCAATTTTCAGACAAGTCCTAAATTAAAACAGAAAAATATTAGCACAACTGATTTTACAGATCTCGTAAAACCCTTATGACATTTAGGTTGCAACTGACTGAGTTCCTAACAGACAGTAAATACTGACGAGTTTCCACATACAGAGGTCTGACACAGTTTCCCAACCAGACGCTACACGACCAAAACGCTCTTCTACATTAATCTGCGCTTCTGTCCTAGTCATGACAAGCGTCACTGCATTTTGTCTGTCTCTTGGTTTCCATTTTTATGCGTATCATCGGGTAGCTCTGCTCCTTTTTTAGAAACATCTGATATTAAAAATCCCTCAAGATCCACAAGGATATTAAGAAAAAGGATGCTGTCTGGAAAAGCAGCATGGAAGTCTTGAAAACACAAGGTTTGTGTTCTTAGAGTTACGACATTTAGGAGTATTGTGCAAATACGTCGCAAGGTCAAGAGAATGTGCAAACCGAGAAAAGCACATACTAATATGATTAGATGATTTTTACTTTCAGAGTGGACAGAAAGATCGTTTGGCGTTGAAATCTAGTTGTGCAAACCAGATACGTGTCAACTGCACAGAGCTTGTCAATGTCCCCTTTGTGCCAACAAAGTGTATAATGCTTTCAGTTGTTTATACTGTTAAAGAGTTGTATTCTCACACCAAGCATGGACAAAGTTTCAAACAACTATTTGGACGTATGACAAGTATTTCTGTGGCAAAAATCGTACTTCCGGGTTTGTACAAGTTTCTGAGAGTTTTTTCGATCGTGGCTCTTCATGACGTAGACGAGGGTGGAACTCCTTATATGGGCATTTCTCCCGGAAGAACATGCCTGCGCACGTATCGACCAGAGTGAGAGCGAGATCGCACCCATCAACGCGCTTCATTCGGCGGCAGCTCTGCACGGGACTTGCTCGGGAAGAATGTCTCCAATCCAAAGAAGTGTGTTTTTGGTTGTAAGGGAAAGATAACTTTGTTCAGCTTCCTAAAGAACCCAGCATTTTGTAAACTGTGGATACAGTTTGTTTTTCAGGGGCAGCAACGGAGTTTCACAAGTGTGTTTGTTGACGTTTTATAAATGAGGCCCAGTTCGACGTTGGATAGACAAAGTTTCAAACAACTATTTGGACGTATGACAAGTATTTCTGTGCCAAAAATCGTACTTCCGGGTTTGTACAAGTTTCTGAGAGTTTTTTCGATCGTGGCTCTTCATGACGTAGACGAGGGTGGAACTCCTTATATGGGCATTTCTCCCGGAAGAACATGCCTGCGCACGTATCGACCAGAGTGAGAGCGAGATCGCACCCATCAACGCGCTTCATTCGGCGGCAGCTCTGCACGGGACTTGCTCGGGAAGAATGTCTCCAATCCAAAGAAGTGTGTTTTTGGTTGTAAGGGAAAGATAACTTTGTTCAGCTTCCTAAAGAACCCAGCATTTTGTAAACTGTGGATACAGTTTGTTTTTCAGGGGCAGCAACGGAGTTTCACAAGTGTGTTTGTTGACGTTTTATAAATGAGGCCCAGTTCGACGTTGGATTTGCACATCGCTTGATACTGAAAGATGGAGTGGTCCCAGTTATAAAAGATCCCGGTCATGATTCAGAACTGCAGATGGTAAGTGAAACGGCATCAAATGTCTGTTTTGTTGGCATTCGGCACCCAAGCGCTCGTCACTCTTTAGCTCCGCCCACGGCACGCCTCCAGGGGCTCGGCTTTTTCCGGAGAGAATCGTGAAATTGTATCTTTCTTTTATAAATATGATCAAATTAAAGACTTTTTGGAGATATGAAGGATGTCGTACTACTCTATAGGTACTCAAGATTAACATGAGATTGGGTGAAACTGTGTGTGTTATGGCCCCTTTAAATTTTACTGGGGGTAAAATGCATGCAGTGAGAACACTCACTCTCCCCCACTGCTGAAGAATGTGCAGTCATAATGGTAAAAGACAACAGGCATGGATCGTACGATAACTAAAAGAGGTGTGGGGATGCAGAACTTTGAATAGAAGCAAGTCAGTGACAGCTAAAAATAATTCAAATCAATTAAATTAATGTAATATTATACCGATGTTCCTAATGTCTGATGAAGGCCTTGAATGTGGCTGAACACTAAGATTTTTATTTGAAAATCTGAAGCTCTACATTTTCATATGGAGGAAGTGTGGCGCCTTTTTATGAAGTATTGTCACATGGGAATTAAAAACAAAAATGAGCATAATACTCCAACTGCAGCTATGATGAGAACAATAAAGAAACTGTATGCTATCAGGGTGTAAAACGAGATTTATTCTTCTCTATTGTTTTCATTGCTCTCTATGGTTTTGCACAAGCTTTAGCTACTTCAGTACTACATATTTTAAACTGCTATAACTTCTCTGGCATTTTTAATTTCTTGTTACAGCACTGCTAATATTGTTGGGTACATATGATGTATATTAGCTTGTTTTATTCTAATTAAATGTATTAGCATGAGCTATTTTAATAAAATATTTTTATTCCAGTTAACTATTTTGTTCACAAGACCCTAACATTTGTTAAAAATTCATTCGTCCAGCTTTATGAAACATCTGTTTTAATAAGACCAAACCACATTTCATAAAGCATTAGTTACACACCTAATGCTCATCCTTTGCTCTTTATTATACTATATTAGCACCAAATAAACTCCCTTCATTAGTGAAAAAGGGGAATTTATTCTGAACAAAATCACTTAAAACCACATCATGCTTTAATAGCGAATTCCTAAGTAGGTTCGCCAGTTCCTATGAGAATGTAGTGCAGTACAAGTGCAGACGACCCGCAACGGAATATCTAATATTTACAGTGCCACTGGTGAAATAATAACACCTGAATCCATCTTAAAACCCTGTCACAACAACTGTTGGTATAAAAACAGCTTCCTCTAGCAACTACTTTATGCACAGCCAGCTAATAAAAGACACGACCGGCAGCAACAGGCTGAAACCAGTTGAGACGAGTTTACACCTCATAGATCTCTCTCTCATGTGTCTAAAAACACTTGGAGGTTTCTGGTAAAGCGATTAAACTCTAATCAGCAAATTAAGTGGTCAATTTTACTTTTATAAAATGAACTGTTTTTTCTGTTTCCTATTTACACTTCGCTCAATAACACTTTGAAAACCCTAAAAAAAATAAAAAAATAAAAATAAAAGTAGTTCATGTGCGTGAAATAGAAAATATTCCAGGCAATGGAGCTTAAACTCCTCTCGAATGAGAGGAACCAAACACGGCACGACAGCAGGAAAGCGTGCACACATTGCAGCTAGACTTACAGCGAGATTGCTTTAAGAGCCCCTCCTCCACTCTGCCATTTTACACTTGCAGCTCTGCACTGCAGTAACACAAAATGGCCACCAGCTCGGCTGCTGACAAGCTAAAAAACTGAAGTTGCACTATACATGTGACGTAAACCAGAATAGGCGATACAATTTAAATGAAGTGGCTTGATTTTACAAGTAGTCTCATTAAGCCAGCTTGCACACATCCGTTAGACCAGTGTTTCTCAACCCTGGTCCTGGGCACCCCCCAGTCTCCCTAATCAAACACACCTGATTCAACTCATTAGCTCATTAAAAGAAACTCCAGGACCTGAAATGGGTGTCAGATAAGGGAAACATACAAAATGTGCAGTGTTGGGGGGCGCCCAGGACCAGGGTTGAGAAACACTGCGTTAGACTCTCTCTGGTTCCTAACATTGAAGTTGTTGTTTTTTCGCAGAAAAGCCGGCTTTCAATCCATCCTCATGAAGGTTGTGAAATTTCATCAGGGTGTCTTCTATCAAACAAGGCTTTGGGTCTCACAATATAATCTGATGTGGTAACACAGAGGTGGCCTTGATTTTTTTCTGTCTTCTGGGAAGTGTAAAGATGTCTTCTTTCGCTTCATTCTGGTGCACCGGAGTTCTTCGCTTTTATAGGTACTCTTCAACCCATGCAGGTGAGGTGTTCTTCGTCTTCAACGCCTTGTACTTGACGAGTCAGTTACAGGACAGCAGCAACATCTCTAGACATTTATGCATGGGTAGGCTAATCTATTATATCTAAGAAAGTTATCATTCAGAAGTGTTAGATTATAAAAACACTGATACTGTTAACAGAAAAGGCCCAAGTATGTTAGCTCTACCACAAGGGTGCTCAATCCTACTGAAGATTTACCTTTGTGCAGATTTGGTTTTGAAGATTCTGATTGGTTCCAAAAAAGGACCTGAACCAGCTAATCATGCTCCTCAGGATCACCTGTAAATTTACCACAGGTGAGTTAAAAGAGGATGGACCTAAAAGGAAAATCTCAGGACTGAGTACCCCTGAACCACATTACATCTTCCCAAAAAAACTGGTTAACAACCAACATACACTTAAGAAATAATGTAAGACACTCAGCAATATCATGTAGCTAAATATGCAACGTCTTAAAAAAAAGACGTCTTTTCCGCTAATGAAAAAATAAATAAAAATAAAAAAAATCGCAAACACACGTCTCACTGCGATAAATCATACATTTAGAGCAAACAAGTAAAACAAACCACACATTCACACAAAGATTCTAATGAAAAGAAACAAAAGCACAGGAAGACAGAGAGCTTGGAGCTTACACTGCTATCCTCAAATGCAGGCCACCTTCTGCTTGGAGGAGAAATCTGCAAGCGTGACTAGCCTCCGTGCGATCAAGAGCCTAGCAGTAAAACGGAGCAGAAGTGGGGGAGGGGCAGGGCCAAGGCTGTACCATGGATTTTACAGGGGTGCTACTTTTATTTTAATGTTAATAAATATTAAATACACTACTACAGTGTTTGACACTGACAAATGAGCTGTACTATGTATATACACTAAAGACTGAATCATAGATTTCTCTTAGCAACTCTTTTTTTTTATTCTGGGTTTACTTTTAGATTTTTCTTTCTAAATTAGCTTGGAAAAACGTTTTGACTTGTTTTGAAACTGAAAAACATACATTAGCTGAAACATCAAAACTAGCTGAAGTTAGTTCTAAAGCAGTCACACTGCAGTGAAGCTCCACCCTCTAGCTGCAAAGTAACATGGCAGAGCAGACAATGGAAAATTACTGGGGAGTACGGACCATACCACTGTAAGGACAGAGGGGGAGACACTGCTAACTTGGACGTTGCAACTGTCCGAGTTCCAAACAGACACTAACTACAGGTCATTTCCTTCTGAGGTCCAACTAATCAGAGGGTTTTTATGTCTGCCAAACAGCAGTGAGGTGTTCCAATCAGAGCCAACACGGAGCGAAAATATTAACACTGTAATTTTTTTTATTTAAAATAAAAACAATAAAATAATTTGGGATACGAGCCTGTAATGCAGCGGTTCTCAAGTGTAGCCCATGATTAGTCGTGACTCAAGCACGTCTAGGCACCTTACCTCAAGAAGCACAAAAAGAGTACATGGAGGGGGAGGGGAGCATTGGTTGGACTCTACCATGTTTGTGCTTGTCTTTTTTATAAAATACTTTATCTTCTACAATAGAAAAAACAACATTACTACATTTACTAAACCCTGGCCATTATATCTTTCAGAAACAACATGAAACAAAGCTGTCCTCAGTGACCAGATCAGTCTGCAAGACCTTGCCATGACTAAACAGGTCAAGACGCACTCAACAAAACAACTGCAGTCTTTCTATTAAATTATGCATTGTCAGAAAAGGGCACAAAAATAAAGATGTATAGAACTCCCCAAAAAAAAAAGGTCAAATATTAGTGAGGATAAATATCATGAAAGTGAGAAAACACTCTACCCTCCCCCACTGCTGCATAGCATGCAGTCAGAACTGTAGAACGTAATAGGCAATTAATGTACGATTTCTAAACAGAGGGGTGTGAACATTCATGATCCTTTGCATACAAGGAAGAACATGTTAAAACTGCCTACATTTAAATACAATCGCAATTAAATTATAGTGTCTCACTGGATTCACAGATTATATCTGCTTATATCTGAGTGGAGGCATATGCAAACCTTCATCTCAAACACTTGGAATTTGGCAATTCCTGTGTAGCACTTGCTGTCAGAACCGCTATTCAGATTGGTCACCACATTGGTTTCAAAAATCAGAATCCAGCTTTAGGAACGAGTTCTGAGCCTTTATAGCCATTTCAGTAGTACGAATTTACAAAAGGTATTCATTTAAAATCTCAGTAAATATCGGCCTAAATTCTTATTAATTTCTGAATTTTGTTCTTCATACAAGTTTAGGACACAGTGGCTACATTTACATGCAACTAGGGTTGTGCAAAAAAAATCTAATGTGATTTTTGACAAGCGACACAAAATTGAATCGCCTGCGATTTTGAGTAGCTTGTCAGTGAACTACTGCTCTGTGTAGTAAATGCCACTCCATCTGAAAGCACGTGCTGGAGATTTACTACTAATCACAGGAGCGGCTTTACTGATGAGATGCGCATGAAAATCGCATTTGATTTTTTGCACAGCCCTACATGCAACCAAATAATCCGTTTGTAATCGGATTGACGGCTCATTCGGACTAAAAAGCCTTCATGTAAACACCTTAATTGATCCGATTGAGCTCGACCGGAATAAAATTTATCGGATTGAAGGGGGTGGTTTATTCCTTTTCTAATACGATTGAGAGTGCATGTAAACACTTGATCGGATTGAACCCCGAAACTGAAAAGACTGCGCATGTGCAATGATGCAGAAATAGCGTAATGACGTATGACGCACGGAATGAGCGGCTGTTCTTTTTGAATAAAGTGTTGTATAAATGCGTGTCCTGTCGTTATAAAACTCTCCTTTCACTCGGCAACTGTGAAGTGGAGCAGGACAACCTCCCACCAGTCCTTGTTTTGGATTCTCATCCACAGGCAACCCGTTTTGGGTGCGGGGAGGGGCATTTTTACTGAGTGATAAATATGAGCAGCACGGCATTTATCCATAAATGGATAAATATTAATTCTGCTGTTAAAAACAAATAAAGAAACCGTGTAGGAGAGTGGTTATTATGTGCAAACAGTGAGAAACTATATATTTGTGCAGTGTGCACATGTAAAAAAAAAAATAATAATTCCGTTTTGAAGCTTGTGACATAAACTCGCACATCAACCCGATCACTTTATTTTGCATTCATAAACATTACATTCAGATTCATTAATCTGAATGAATTCAGTCCGATTGAACCAAAAATTGTGCATGTAAACGTAGCCAGTGTAACCAAAGGCTTGGTGTTTTTTGATTTCTCTGGATGAAGCCCCACATGCTTATTTTACCCTGCATAAGTAGCCACAGATTTTTCTGCACCGCTAATCAGAGGCAGCGACACGCTGCTGCTGCTGAATCTGCAGCAGGAAAAAATATAGTTGAGCTGAGTTTTGAGCTCGCAATCTGAACTGAATGTGATGAGAAAGACCAAGAACTGTGAAACACAAATACTATAAAGAGACTAAATAGACATCTTTCTACTTCATGGTTCCCGCTGACTGCAAGGGAAACATTGCCATGTAATTTGTGAACAAATGACAATGTGCTGGTTCTTTTTACTGAATCAAACAGTTGTTTCAAACTTGAATTATCGGGTTGAATCAGTCTAATGACTCACTCGATGAATTAACATCTGACTTTATGACTCTTTATGACTTTGTCATTTTAGTCATGTCCAACTCAGAATTAACAGAAAATGGAATCGACTTAGACTTCACATGACATACAATAATAAGGCATCTCAGCTACTGGAGCTGGTGCCAGCTCATTCACTCACTCACTAGTATTGTACATTAGCCTGGTGATTACAGTTTACCATTTTTAAACTCAAAACTATCAACTATCGATCAAACTATCAAAATCTTTGCCTTTGAAAAGTGGCCAATGGAATTTTATTTTTAAAGGATATTCATCATTGCTGTTGGGATTATATTTGTCCTAAGAAACCAGTGTATGTGCTCATTGAGCTGTCGACACAGTAACCATGAATAATCTAAACTGCTGATCCAGCTACACAAAAACATTAATGATTAAATAAGAAAAAAATCAAAAAGGGAAACTACGGCAATGTGCAGGCTAATCTCTCTACTTTAAAAGCAGCTATTCGGGTCAGTTATATTGTTAGCAATCCAAATAATTTTTTTTCTTATTTGTCACTTGGGCATAACATAAAACACAGACATAATACACTGCAGAAATAAGCAACATAAACTAAATATTTCATTTAATCAATATTTAATTTATATGTATTTATTTTTTTTAATTTGGTATTGAGGGACTGCTAATATTTTTGGTGGTTCCTTAAGCATTTGCATTTAATAAAATATTACAAATTCTTAAATGCATTTTAGTAGTAGTAGTATATTTTTATTTAATGCCATGTCAGCATCTTAGGCTATTTTCATGGCAAAAAACTATTTAAAAAATACAAGTATAACAAATACAATAAAAACCAGCAAACAAACACAAGTTATATTACACAAGATGTTTTACATTAACATGATAATTCTAAAACTTCTTCTGGCAAAATTATACTAAACTCTTTAAGTGAGTTCACTTCATAAAAGAGTTTTCTACATACATTAAAAGCGGGAGAGTCCAATAAAATATGTTTGACAGAAAGGGGAATCTTGCAGAACATGCATCGAGTAGGGTCTTCTAAATGCATTTTAAAACAGATTAAAACTGTATTTACAATGACAGCTGAGACACCGCTGCAAAATTATTTGCTGTCAACATGAAAAACAAGATTTGCTAAGATCCTACCCCAATCTTGACTGAGAAGGAACACCCAAGCAAAAAACACGGATACCCAGTGGAATATACCATTTTTTAATTACAGGGCAACACAAACATTAAGAGGAGCTAATCCATGCCAAAAATTTAATTCTAAGTAGTATTAGAGAGGGTTGCTTGTGAAATGGGTACAAACATAACCGGAATTATTTTTAAAAACTAATAATTAAAACTAGCTCCTTTAGAAAAAAAAAAAAACTGCTTTCCTCTTGTAATGCTACTGTATGCACAGCCAGCTAATCACAGATGCGACCTGCAGAAACTAGCTGAAACCGGTTCAGACTGGCTTAGCTGTGGGTTGTATGTCATAGATCTCTCTCGTGCGTCGGTCTAAACTGGGTTTCTGGTAACATATGCAAACTAACTACAGGATCAAGCTACCAGATTTAATTTTATACTGAACTCATCTAGAATCTCCTTGTTGTGTAATGTATTACTACTTTTAAAAACAGAATTATCATACAAGCGCATTAAATCCATGAAAACATTTAATGGATTTAAAGCTTAAAATACTTCTAGAATGACTGGAACCAAACACGGCACAACAACAGTAAACCGTGCACACTGCAGCTACCACTCAGAGCCAGACTTACAGCGAGGACTCTTTAAGAGCCCTTCCCCCACTCTGCCATTTTACACTCGCAGCTCTGCACTGCAATAACACAAAATGGCCACCAGCTCGGCTGTGTTGAACAAATCACAGGAAGAAATTTCTAAATTAAAATAAAGCGGCTCAGGTTCAGGGCTGCTTGATGTAGTGTTTAGCTTGCATGTAGCATGTTTCTTCACATCTGACTTTTCTGGTTCCCCATGTCAAGATATGTCCAGTAGTTTGTCCATACAAGAGCTGAAATTTCTTGCTTTTAAAATTGAATTGCAATGTTCAGTCGCACTGGATTATCAAGGTTCTACAGAGAGAACACTGTGTTCAGTCATTCAAGCCTTGTCATCCCACCAAATGACGTGACATTATAGAGTCTTTTGTCTTCTGGATAACAAAGATGGTTTCCATTGACGCGTCAGGTGTGGGCTGCTCCTGGGATTCTTCAAATCATAAGTCTTCCGGCTTTGCTTCATCCTTCTGCATTGGAGCACTTTTAAAGGGTTGTCTCTTCAATCCATGCAGGCGTTCCTCACCTTCAACACCTTGTGCTCAACAAGTGACAGTTATGGAGTAGCAGCAATGTCTCTGGACATTAACTGCTCTGTTGGTCACGCGGCATCAAAAATACGGTTATAATATCTGAAAAAGTCACGTCCTAACCCGTTGAATACACCACTTAGAAGTGGCACGTCACATCAAAACTTAATCACCCTCATTATAACCAACAAAGCCATCTATATTGAAAGCACATGATCCCTTCGGTTATCGAAAGCACCATATTTTTTGTATGAGGTGATACACAGCTATTCCACTTGTTCCCATGTCCGTCCTAAATAAAATTATTTTATTCATTAATATGAATTGTATTTTAATAACGTCTGAACCTTGCTGGGTTAAATTTTCTAGTCTCTTCTCTTTTTTTCCTCACTATAGTTCTGTTCAAAATAATAGCAGAAAGTGAAGAAAGTTATATTAGGCTGTAAAAAATAGCAGGTGCAGTTGAACCACTGACGGCAGGTGGACTATTCTTATGATGTTTTTCATACTTTTCTGGACCATGACGGTGTAATTTACTTGGCAGTCAATGGGACAGTCACAAGCCTCCTGGTTTTCATCCAAAATATCTTAAATTGTGTTCCGAAGACGAACGAAGCTCTTACGGGTTTGGAACGACATGGGGGTAAGTGATTAATGACAACATTTTCATTTTGGGGTGGAGTAACCCTTTAATCTTGTTGGTCTGGAACCAAGATGCTTCTTGCTTACTGGTGTGTTTGGGGTCGTTGTCTTGTTGAAACACCCATTTCAAGGGCATTTCCTTTTCGGCATAAGGCAACATGACCTCTAAGTATTTTGATGTACTCAAACTGATCCATGGTATGCAATAAATAGGCCCAACACCATAAAAACATCCCCATATCATGATGCTTCCGCCACCATGCTTCACTCTCTTCACAGTGTACTGTGGCTTGAATTCAGTGTTTGGGGGTCGTCTGACAAACTGTCTGCGGCCCCTAGACCCAAAAAGAAAAATCTTGCTTTCATCAGTCCACAAAATATTGCGCCATTTTTCTTTAGGCCAGTCAATGCGTTCTTTGGCAAATTGTAACCTCTTCAGCACATGTCATTTCTCAACAATGGGACTTTGTGGGGGCTTCTTTCCGATAGCTTGGCTTCTTCTAATTGTTACAGTACTCACAGGTAACTTTAGACTTTCTTTGATCACCCTGGAGCTGATCATTGGCTGAGCCTTCTCTATTTTGGCCATTCTTCAATCCATTCGAATGGTAGTTTTCCGTTTTCTTCCACATCTTTCTGGTTTTGATTGCCATTTTAAAGCATTTTATATCATTTTAGCTGAGCAGCCTATCATTTTCTGCCCTTCTTTATACGTTTTCCCCTCTCTAGTCAACTTTTTAAATCAAAGTATGCTGTTCTTCTGAACAATGTCTGGAACGACCCATTTTACTCAGATTTTCAGAGAGAAATGCACAGAACAACATTTGCTGCCTTCATCCTTAAATAAGGGCCATTTGTTTGACAAGTTTTTTTTCACTGAATGAATAACCTCACTGATTGAACTCCACACTGCTATTATTTTGAACACGCCCTTTTCAATTAATAATTCAATTACACAGAATCAGCAGCATGCATGTCATGACTGTTGGGTCTGTTGGTTATATAGAACTCTACTACACCTACTAGTAAAATATTTGCCATGTAGAAATATAATTTCTACCAAAAACAGTGATTGATCTGGTTAGGGATGTTGGACTGCTATTATTTTGAACACAACTGTATATGTACACAGCTGAAACAACATTAACAATGTCATTTTTTTTCACCATTTAAAAATAACACGGATCAAATTTTATATCTGTGGTTATCATTGCAAGTATTTTTTTTATTGTTACTTTACTAAAAACTAGTTTCGAGTTTACAGCTAATTGATCCATAGTTAGCAATAATATAATAATTAATACAATTTTAAAGTGATGCACAGCTTTACTGCTTTTAGTACAGAAAAGCTGTAACACAGGGGTGCTCAATTCTAGGGGTGCTCCGATCAGGATTTCTGAGGCCGATCACAGAAAGCAGTATCTGCTGATACCGATCTTATTTTTTATCATTTATAACTACTTATAGTGATACTCCAATCAGGATTTTTAGACATTAATTCAGGGCCTGAATTTCATTTTTGAAAATGGGGGGAATTCCCCTCTTAGATGTCTCTTGTGAGAGGGGAAGCAGCACGGACTGTGCTTTCACACGAGTCTGCTACTGATCTGTGGCGGTTTACCACAAACACAACATTTATCCATTATTTTGATTTCAAATCCAAACATTGTCACTGAAAATGCTTTTTCAGCATTGCAATTCTTTTTTTGTACACTGTACAGTTATACAATTACTGACATGTTTAAACAATAAATATAAGCAACACATTATTCAATGCTTTTTACTTTTGCATTTATTTCTAGATTTATATTTTAAGTTGCTCAAGCAAGTGGCAAAACATTTAAACTACTTTTCTTCCATCATCACAAACTTACCATTGACAGAAATAGTCAGCTCTACTGCCTTTTACTTTGCATTTAAATCTTTATTACAAGCAATCCTGCCGTTCATAAAGAAATTTGTTTTTCTACCTCCACGAATGGCATCTATTATTGCCTTCATCTAAAAGTGCTCTTTCCCTTTAAACCTAGCCAAAAAGCCATATGTGTTGACTGTGAAACACAGTAGAATTTAATAATATGCATTTATGGTGTATTTACTACATTTTTGTGTCAATCCATGTTCATATTTACTGCAAACAATGCACTGTTACTTTAATTCAGCGCTTGCAGCACAGCAATACACTCGGTGTGGAAACTATCTCTGCACTGCTGCAGATGCACCAATCCCGAACGCACTACCGGACTGCAACCATGTGCAGTGTAAACGCGGAAAAAATACGCACCGCACCACGTATGCACTGCAAACGGAGTAATGTGAACCTGGTGTTATGTGTGTGTGCTGCGAGTGTGCGGTCTCCAGGACAGCGCGCGAGCGCTGAATGGTTAAACACTGGCAACAATTAAAAAGTAATGCAATTTATAGACTTCAGTGACACTGCCTCGACTGTGCAAGTGACAATTCCTGCGTCAACTGTGCAGCTCGCTTATAGACAGACGCGAAATGTGGTGATTTGAAGCCATTTGCATATTTTGAGAGAGAAAGAGAGAGAGCGCGTGCGGTGATTCACTCACGTTGTTTGTGAAATTACGTCTCACAAAAGGTTTTCAATATACCTTGTACCTCACCTTCAGCATTATAATTATTTCACCCGTGCCGGTCAGAGACTTGCCAAACCTCTCATAGCAGCGTCATCAGCTTGAGATCGGCCTTTTAGAGAGCGCCGATCCATCATCCCAACGTGATCATCGGCCAATAGTGATCGGTAGCCGATCAATCGGAGCACCTCTACTCAATTCCACTCAGTCCTTTGAGTAGGCTAGAGTTTATTTCGACCTCTAAACAAGTTCACAAGGCAGCTAATCAAGGACCTCAGGATCTTGTAAATTACCAGCAGGTGTGCTAAGGGGGGTTGGACCGAACCGCTGCTGAAATGAAACTCTCCAGAAGTAAGATTAAGTACACGTGAAACGCATCTTCCAAAATCAATTGATTAAAAACCAATCTACTGCTTTCAGTACAGGCTAACAAAGTCATTACATAGCTAAATGTGGCTAACACTTTCACGCTAATGCCAAGTAAACCGCAAGCACCCCACTCACTGTGTTAATATTACATTTAGTTAATTTAATATATTTTGTATTGTTATATAAATACTTTCACATAAAGAAACTAATGAGAAGACAAACATGGACAGGAAGACAGAGCTGGGAGCTTACACTGCTATCCTCAAATAGGAGTAGAAATCTGCAAGCGTGACTAACCTCTGTGCGATCAAGAGCCTAGCAGTAAAGCTGAGCAGATGTGGGGGAGGGGCAGGGCTATGGCTGTACCATGGATTGCTACTATTTAATTCTACTAATTTCTATCAATAAATACACTAGCAAACTTTGCACTGAAAAACTAGTAGTACTGTGTGCATAAACCTAACTGCAAGAGATAAAAACAACAACAAGTGTTACAAAGAAAATAACTTTAATTCATTAATTTTTTTCAGGTTCTACTTGTTTTCTTACTAAATGCTGTGAAACAGAATTGAAACTGATAACTGTTCCAATATAAATCAGGTCTCAAAATATCAAACTAGCTGAAATTAGTTCTAGAGCACAGTCACACTGCAGTGTAGCTCCACCCTCTTGCTACTCAGCAGAGCAGACAATGGAAAATTACTGGGAGAGTTTGGATCATACCATTATAAGGACTGAGAGGGGGAGACACTGCTAATTTGGACGTTGCAACTGCCTGAGTTCCAAACAGGTATCAACTACTTGTCATTTCCATCTGGGGTCCACTTACTCAGAGGTCCGACATATCCGCCAATTAGCATTGAGGTGATCAGCATCTTCTCTAATTAGTGCCCCTCAACTTTAACGAACATATGCACGAGTCAGTAATGCAGCGGTTCTCAGGTTCTCAAGAGTAGCTCATGATTAGTCGTGAGAGAACTCAAGCATGTCTACCTTAAGGAGCACACAAATAGTACATGGAAGGGGGAGGGGAGCATAGCTTGGACTCTAACATGTTTGCAGAGGCGTCTTTAAAACATGTTGCCTTCTACACCAATAAACAATATCCTCGGGACCCCTACTGTATCCTGCAAAACCAGACTGACACAATAAACTGTCAGTGATCAGAATAGCCTGCAAGACCTCTACATGTTTAAACAAACTGTTGTGTTTCCAAGTACGAAAATACAAAGTATAAGATAAGTACTTAAATATTAGTGAGGGTAAAAATCATGGAAGTGAGAACACTCACCCCTCCCCCACTGCTCCAGAATGAGCACAGTCAAAATGGCAGATGGACAGGCACGGATTGTACTATTATTTAAAAAGGGGTGTGGTGACAACTTCCTTTAAATGGAAGAACGAACATGACAGCTATTTAAAATCTCCACCATTAGCATCCAGGCCGTTGGAACGCTACAAAATCTTACTGTGAATATAAACACATTCTCTTAACTCAGACAGACTATGCAAAAATGCTAAAGAAGTCAAAAATCAAGCTCTTCCCAAATGCTAATACATTAGCAAAGCAATTCTCCATGCAACATTAAGCGTGCAATGCATCCAGCGGTTTGATATTTTTGGCTACCTTTCTGGATGAATGCTCACATGCATGCTTTACCTTGCACAGGTAGCCACAGTGTTTTCTGCACTGCTAATTAGAAACAACAATGCACCTCTGCTGAATCTACAGCACTACAAAGGATTTTTTTTACCAAGCTATGAGCTTGCAGTCTAAATTGAATGATGGCAGAGGAAAATATGCATAGGCACTCCTCACTTTACAGAACTGCATGACCAAACATTGCTCGTTAAATAAATATTTAAAAAGGTGTTATTTTATCATTTCTATATTTGAGGTTAACAGCAGCTATTACTTTAAGTGAGTTGTTACGAGTGCCTTTGTCACTTGAAAATAAAATAAAACCTGGACTTAATACATTAGTTATGATGAGCAACACTTAATAAAATGTTGTATATCATCAGGGTGTAAAATGAAATTGCATACACTTACAAGATCAAAGCTGCTGCTAAATTAGGAAACAACTATTGAGGCCAGAATTATGACGTTTTTTAGGTTATGGAGAATAATAATATCTACTGCTCTCTATTCCCCATGCACTAGCTTTAGCTTCATACGTTTAATATTGTTGTACCTGTGTTCTATTCTTTAAATAAATATTACGATAATTAAGTCTATTTTTTAAATTTGGTTATTTAGGCCAATATAAGCTGCTCTCACTAAAAGTACCTGTTGAATGAATAAATATACATGTAATGTAAGTGCTTTGATATTTCCTAGTGCATTACAAAAAATTCAATTTTGTTCATTTTTTAGTCTTAAAATCTTAGAATTCAATACAGATTTCTAAAACTGCATATAATAAAAATTGCCTAGAGACATAGCTGAAATTAAATCTGCTGCTAACAACCAAACCCCCACCCCAGTCCTGACTGAGACCGAAGACAACTAGGAAGAAACATACATGTCTGGAAGTGGAATATACCATTTTCTAAATTTCAGGGGAGCAGAAGCATTTGGAGCTAAACCATGACAAAGATAAAATCCAAGATATATTAAAACTTAGAACTGTTGGTTAAATAGTTTACAATCTATAAAAAAAAAAATCATCAACAAATGTACAAGAAAACAGCTATCATTTTTCCACGCTACTGTATGCTCAGCCAGCTACTCACAGATATGACTGGCAGACACTGGCTGAAACCAGTTTAGACTAGTTCATTTACTGGCTGTCACTGAGCCCTCGTGTATCGGCCAGAGTTTGAAGGTTTCTGGTCAAATATACAAAAACTAACCAACTATCTGATCTACCATATTAAAATGTAATTATAAAATGTGACAAATTTTACAATGACCAATTCTGAGCAATAACACGCTATTACTGTGAAAACCCACAACATTTTAAAACAGGTACATGAAATGGAACAACATTTCATTATCTAGAGCCTAAAATTCCAATAGAATGACTAGATCCAAACACGGCACAGCGGCAGTGAAGCATGCACACTGCAGCTACCACTCAGAGCCAGACTTCAGCAAAGTCTCTTTAAGAGCCCCTCCCCCATTCTGCCATTTCAGACTTTGCACTGCAATAACACAAAATGGCCACCAGCTCAGCTTCTAGCAAGGCCAACAGTAGCAACTGCAGTGTTTCTGTGAATTAAGAGTGAAGAAACAAAACATACAAAGTGTCTTGATCTCAAAGATTGTGTAATTTAATCCACAGATTGAATTAATCTAGCACATTTATTATTCTCAGGTCAAGGTCATCTGTGGGTTTTTGTTTGTTTTAAAAATATTTAATAATAATTAATACCGTTCCACCATCAAGGTTACACCACTTCAAGACAAGGCACAGTGTTTTTCAAAGACTGAAGCTGGTTCACCCCACAACCTAATCTGATGTTGTTTTTTTCTGCCTCTTCATCCTCTATAGAACTACTGACTGTTGTTGCTGAAAGCTTGCTCACTAATTATGAAAACAGCTTGACAGATTCAACGGCCTCTCCTTTTCCATCTTGTATTCTGAAGCCTCATTCTGACAGCAATTTAACGTGAAGCTCACCGAAATAAGGACAAAAAGACAGAGCAAATATAATCATAAAAAGACTGAATTAAGATGCAACTGCATTTTGTGAGTTGTTGCAGAGCAAAAATGCTGTTGCGCAAGTACGCATTGCATTTACAGTGTTGCCACAAGGGGTGCTAAAGCAGACATTAGTGTAAACTAGAACAGCAACAAATAATTATTTTGGTAGTCGATTAATCTAATGATTGGTAGACCGGTTAATCAGCTAATCATTAGAGGTCGACCGATATGGGTTTTTCTCAGGCTGATACTGATAGTTAGAAAACAGGGCAGCCAATGGCCGATATATGATGCCGATTTTTTTGGGCTGATATGTTTGGCCGATTTTTTTGCCATAGCATCGTTAGCTGAAGCTGTGTGTGGACAAGGCGCTCCTGGGGCCTGTTTCAAAAAGGAGGTTCAACCAACTCGGCGTTAAAGGGGTCATATGATGTTGCTAAAAATAACATTATGTTGTATATTTGGTGTAAAGAAATGTGCGGTTTAAGGTTCAAAAAACAAATTTTCCACATACTGTACATTATTGTTTCTCCTCTATGCCTCGCCTTTCTGAAACGCGTCGATTTTTACAAAGCTCATCAGTCTGAAAAGCAAGGTGTGCTGTGATTGGCCAGCTATCCAGTGCGTTGTGATTGGCCGAATACCTCAAGCGTGAGACGGAAATGTTACGCCCCTTACCATACTGTGATTCCATGTCCTGGCCAGAGCGACTAGACAAAAACATTAAAACCCATTATAAACGAGGTATTTGTTGGAGCCAGAGGGGACATAATTCCAAGATTATAATGACTTATACTGTCTTTTTACGTTGCGTTGCATCGCGCCGCGTAAACATTAAACCATGTCTGCATTTGTGATCGGAGAAACGACAAACAACAAGCGCTACTCTACACTGCTCAAAACTCGCGTTTGAATCATCAGTGGCAAATCCTTTAAATATGAAAATGTACTTACAGTCTGTGGAGTCAGAACAGCCGGCATTGTAGTCTACTCTTCCAGGATCAGGAAACAATCCTCCATAAAATGCGAGGCGCA